TTTTTAGCATTTAAATCTGTGAAATAATGAAATATTGTAATTTTATTTTTTAATTACAAAAAATTATTATTTTTTATTAATTATTAATAATTAAATTTTTTTCATAAAAATAAAAATGTACTGCAAAGAATATGTTTTATGCATTGAAAAATAAAAATTTGTTAAAATATATTATTTCTATATTTTGTAAATAAAGTTATTTATTAAAATAATTTTTTTATTTATAAAATTGAAATAGATTAAAAAATTAATGTTTTAAATTAAAAATTTTTTATTTGAATTAATATATGTAATTAACTATTATGAAAATTAATTAGTCGTTAAATTTTTTTTTTTTTTTAATAATAACTAATCTTTTTTTACCTATAAACAAATTTAATTTTATTTTGAACAAAATTATATTTTTAATGATAAAAACTTTGTTATTTTACATAGAGACGAATAATATTATACTTTTTTTATTTGTGAGTGAGAAGTGACCAAAACCAAATAATTGTAAATCATCGTAAAAATATTTTAAAAGGGATAGAAACAAAACAATACATTTTAAAATTATACAACACAAGAATACTCGCAAATGCGATTGTAAAACGAAAAGTACGAAAGTAATATAATTTTAGGTTTATTACGTCCTGCAGCCGTTAGGTGGCAGAAGCATGCAGGGAGCACAATGTCGCAGCTGTCATTATATTACTTTCGTACTTTTCGTTTTACAATCGCATTTTTGTATAGATTTGCACAATCTTTCGGATTTAAGAAATTTATAAGATAAGGATCCTTGGTATTTTTTCCGATTTTGAAAAAAGTGTCCGCGTTTTGAGAAAAAAGTATTTTAAACTCAATGTTTATCATTTTCACGTTCAGTGCCGTTTTTATAGGGCGATTATTGAATGCCAACGAATTTCAGAGACCGTTCGACACTCTTAAACGATATTTTTTTATTTGTGAATTTCTTTTATATTTAAACGCATTCTTTTATCCTACAATAATTTTTAATGCTTATAATTTGTTTCATACGCGTATATGCGATTTGCGAGTATTCTTGTGTTGTATAATTTTAAAATGTATTGTTTTGTTTCTATCCCTTTTAAAATATTTTTACGATGATTTACAATTATTTGGTTTTGGTCACTTCTCACTCACAAATAAAAAAAGTATAATATTATTCGTCTCTATGTAAAATAACAAAGTTTTTATCATTAAAAATATAATTTTGTTCAAAATAAAATTAAATTTGTTTATAGGTAAAAAAAGATTAGTTATTATTAAAAAAAAAAAAAATTTAACGACTAATTAATTTTCATAATAGTTAATTACATATATTAATTCAAATAAAAAATTTTTAATTTAAAACATTAATTTTTTAATCTATTTCAATTTTATAAATAAAAAAATTATTTTAATAAATAACTTTATTTACAAAATATAGAAATAATATATTTTAACAAATTTTTATTTTTCAATGCATAAAACATATTCTTTGCAGTACATTTTTATTTTTATGAAAAAAATTTAATTATTAATAATTAATAAAAAATAAAAATTTTTTGTAATTAAAAAATAAAATTACAATATTTCATTATTTCACAGATTTAAATGCTAAAAATGAAAAAATTTTCATGTCTATATGTCAATTTTTATAATAAACATTAATTATTTAATATCGGTATTTAATTATTTAAAATACTATACTTGATTTAAAATAAAAAAACTACATTAAATTATGTATATATTCATTCGAATTTAATTTGACCATTTGAATTTGCCGCTCTTCCTAGTAACTTTCTGTCGGTAAGTTTCTGTCGAATACTTTTTGTCAGTAATGATGCATTTCCTCAATCCAGTGGTAACAACTCTCGCAGGTCTCGTGCCTGTCACATTTACCTTTTTAACTTTTAGATAAAATTTCGTCGCTCCTCCTCGTAATCGGCATTATTACACTTCAAAACAATCGGCTTTTTCATTGACAATGTCAAATCGCGTTAATACACATCAATTCAAACAATCCAGGTGAACCGTATTCACGGTAAGAAAAAAGTATACACCGTAACGTCTCTATACCGTCATTACATGCCGAACGGTATAGCCACTAAGCTATGAGTCTATACTTTTTCCTTACTGTCTATACTTTTTTTTTTACTGGGTAAGTAATTTTACCATTATGCATCAGTCACTAAAACTGTAATAAAGATTTAATTTTAATTTTTAAGCAAATTTTATGATAAAACTTTACAAAAGATTTATTTTAAATGTTCAGGCAACTTTTACGCTAAGCCTGTACCAAATATGTAATTTAAATATTCAGTACAGTTTTACGCTAAACCTGTACCAAATATGTAATTTAAAGATTCAGTACAGTTTTACGCTAAACCTGTACCAAATATGTAATTTAAAGATTCAGTACAGTTTTACGCTAAACCTGTACTAAATACGTAATTTAAAGATTCAGTACAGTTTTACGCTAAACATTTACTCAATTGCGGACATTTACATATTTACACAACCTGTGCTAAGCTTTACGGTAAATTTTTCCAACTTGGCACGCACAACTTTAATACAGGTTTAGGAAACTTTCGGTGCTGTGTGGGAGTATACTCGGGATGGGTGAGGTATACAAGCGCCTTTAATCTAATTCCATATATACTTATTTCGCACGTTATACAAGATTATAAATTAACTATATAAACACAAATCAATAAATAAGTAAATAAATATATCCATACATATACACATACACACACACACACACACACACACACACACACATATATATATATATATATATATATATATATATATATATATACATACATACATACATATACACATACACACACATATATATATACATATACATACATACACATATACACACACATACATATATATATACATATACATAAAACGTTGATTTAGAGATGATGATAATAACGTTTTGTATTAATTAAATTAGGATTTGAATTATAATATGAAAGAATTGTCGTCGCGAACATGAGGTTCTTTGTTTGCCTAGTCTAGAGGCTTTTCTATATTTTATGAGCCGAGTTGCGTCTGGTCAACACGTGTTTAGTGTCCCATAGAAAAAGAATTCACAACCTTTTCAAGTGGATTTTTATGATCTTTTTGAGGTTTATATTTCAACTTGAAAGCAAGGAAAACTTGGGATCGTATTTCCTATTGCCATTTTACCAAAATGTTTATTCTGAAAAATGTTTATTTTGTACATTTTGGGAACAAGAGTTTGAAAGGAATTAAAGCGTGACGGAATTATTTAAAATTAGTCATGCTTTTTACGAATATCTGAATAGTTTTATTTTAAGAAGAATAAAATATTAAGAGACAGTTAAATTAATTCTTAACAAATTTTAATATTAAAATTTAGCGCTTTGATATATCGTAATTCGAGATATCGAAAGTAAAGTCGAGCGAGAATACAGTCGCTCGTTACACTGTCCAACAAGTGGCACGAACTAACGAACTTGCCACAAGTTGGACGGACTTCGTGCTACTTGTTGTACGAAACACTGCCACTTGCGTCCGAGGCGCTCGAGAGCCGTACAGGCTTCCGTAAAAATGAATCGAGCATTAACTTGGTTTTGTGGTGGCGCGTAGAAGCTTCCGTAGTCTGCCATTGAAAGTCGCGAACCGAGAGAGAGGGCTGATTCTTGTATTCCCCTCTTTGTCGGTACAGGTCCTTTAGAAAATATTTAACAGTATGTATACGTGAACATGACATAACACAGTTAACAGTAAACTTTTGGAACGTATTGTACTACGCCTGCGCAGTTCAGCAAGAGAAGGAGAGGGATACAAGAATCAGACCTCTCTCTCGGTTCGCGACCATCAATGTCAGACATCATTCCAGATATATAGAGTTCAGTGTGTTCGACAAATACCACATAATGATTTCTGAGAAGGTGTAAATTACGTAGAAAACTGTAGACGTAAATTACTAGGTCTAGTGACAAAACGCTGCCATGGGACTACAGCCTTAGGGTGGCGTATAGGCGCTTCCGTATAATATCAGGCCCTTCCCTACGGAAGCGCCTACAAGTCACCAGCGAACTATCTTGTTCGCGTCACATTTTTAGCTGTGAAACCGAGGAACGCGTTCGATGGTTTCGCTGTTTCCTTGTTTTTGAGTGACGATAAAACACACTGTACGATTCGATAGTTCGATGGTTCTCTGGTTTTACTTAGTTCTATCGTTATCGAAGTCTAAATTTTGTATTAAAAAAATAAATTTAAATTTAAAAACCGAAATATAATAATATATTTAAATTATATATTATTATATTTCGGTTTTTAAATTTAAATTTATTTTTTTAATACAAAATTTAGACTTCGATAACGATAGAACTAAGTAAAACCAGAGAACCATCGAACTATCGAATCGTACAGTGTGTTTTATCGTCACTCAAAAACAAGGAAACAGCGAAACCATCGAACGCGTTCCTCGGTTTCACAGCTAAAAATGTGACGCGAACAAGATAGTTCGCTGGTGACTCGTAGGCGCTTCCGTACTTTCCAGAATGGAGCTAAACGCAAACGCGACGCATCGCAATGCTAGGTCCATTCCACAATAGCTAAACGCAAAGTTAAAGCGCACGCAAAGATGACGCGCGCGTTGGTTTGGTTGGTTAGAACCAACGCGCGCGTCATCTTTGCGTGCGCTTTAACTTTGCGTTTAGCTATTGTGGAATGGACCCTAAGCAAATGAGGATGCGTCGCGTTTGCGTTGCGTTTAGCTCCATTCTGAAAGGCCTTTCTCCAATAGGAACCTAAACTTTTGCGTTGCGTGACTGACGCGTTGATTTTAGCATTGGTTGCCAATAGCAACCGACGCAATGCATACGCAACGCAAGAGTTTAGGATCCTATTGGAGAAAGGCCTTAAGTAGTCCTCCAGTTATCGGCCATGTTGAATTTGCCCCACTAAACTTGAACTAGTTTTTTATTTACGCATGCGTCATGGCGCCACGCGATACAACACGCGATCGTCTTGCGCAGTGTTGATTGGGAGATGCCGATGATTTTTTTGGTGTTTTCGCCTATCGTCGTCTCATGTGTCCGTTCTATTCAAGTTCGTCTAGTTTTAGATTTTATCTTTGTTAGTGAAATAAAGTTAGAAAGACAAGAAAGATTAATTATACCCGTATTTAATGGAATGGTCTATTATTATAAGTCGAGTCAAACGTAGTTTGTAGTTTTTAAAATTAAGTTTCAATTTCATTATTGGCAAAGTTTTATGTGAATTATTTCTATAATAAATGCAACTCCAAAATCCGGTATTTTTTAAATCCATATTTGTTATAGTTAACTGTTTAAATTGTGTCTAAAAGTATTGGGAAAAATTGTATTTCATTTAATTTTAATTATTACACGTTAAATATGAAATTAGAAGTAGAATATTTGAAACAGGAGCATCTCACTGGCTTCGAAAATTATAAAGTAAGTAATCTCAAAATTTAAGGTACAATGTTTTCCTTTTAGTTTATTTGCAATAATATGTATAACCTCAAATTTTTCGAGAATTAGAAGTTTTCAATATTTTTTAAAGTCAATAAAAAAAACATTTTTTTTGTAAACAAAAAATAAGTATTAAAGAAAATTGCAATTTATTTTTCTTAATGTAGGTATTATTTTATTTGTAAATAAATTAAAGAAATTCTCTTACTATAGAAAAACAATCTTTCTAAAAGACGTAAAATAATGTGAATATCACTTATGATAATATTTGAAAACGTGTTTTTTTTATTATAATATTCATTTTTCTTATGAATCACTTTACATAACTGTGTTTAAAATATTTAAATGAATGATTTTTAAAATCTGTTTTAAAAAAATTGGAATTATTTAACAATATAAAATTTTTAATTATAATTAAAGTGAATATAGAAATATTATGTAATAATTACAATTTCGACCAATGCCGATTGTAAAAAAATCAAATTAAACATTTTTTAATTTAAAAAAAATTGGGACAATTTTTTAATTTCACAACAAAAAATTTACTATTCGAAAGAGGAGAAATTTTTCGAAAATGTATTAATCAAAAATTTGTATCTTTTATTGCAAGATAGTTACAAAAAAATAAAAAGATGCAAGTTTTAGTCTGATCTGAGAATTTTTTTCAATTGTATCTCTTAAAGAATTTTGCTCTATAAATAAAAGTAAAAATAAAATAAAAGTTTGTTAAATTTATTGCAAATTCTATAATTTTTTGCTTACAAAAATTTTTTTTTATAATAATATATTTTTTGCCGCTGAATCCGAATTCAAAGTCAGAATTGTCCGTTTGGCTCAAATTTTGAGCTAAACTCAAAAAACTGCTAAAAAACACGAATTAAAGTGGTTCTTCGGCTAATGAATTTTCTATGAATTAGGATTCCTATCTTAAACATACAACAGTGATACATTTAATTTAATTTCTTAAAAAGTTTTCTATCAATTTTTCTTTAAAAACTAGTATATTGTAGAATGGAATTAATAGAATAATATAAATAAATAAAAAAGTTAGGTTATTTATACATTTTTCAAGAGAGTCAAGTATATTACTCGCTTGAGAATGAGAGAGAAAGCACGAAAGTGAAGTGAGCTGTTGATTAGTATAAACTACTCGCAAGGAACTGAGCACCACTGGAGCCGGAGAACTTCCTTAAAGTCAAAAAAGTCAATTTTTTTCTGTTACACTAATTTAGTTTTTTCGCATACATTTTTTTCCACTGAATTCTAATTTGAAGTCAAATTTGTCACATTGGCTCAAAATTTTTGAGAATTTAAAAAACTGCGGAAAATTTTGTGCAATGACACTACGCTATAGTATTGACTTACTTAAATTGTTTGTCAGTGATATCGGAAGTGAATTTCCGACAAGGATATCCGAAGCTTAAGATAGAAAAAATAGTTTCATTTTTGTTGCACCTCAAAATAAATCCATGCTACATGACATAGAATCTGTTTGGCTCATTTTTGATGCGTATGAAATTGAATGTGAGTTTTATACTCATTTTGATACCAGGTTTTTTTAAAGGAGGTAAATTTAAAATCCAGATTCGAAATAAATAGGAAAATTATATCATTGTAATAGAATTAGGTTTAGACCAAAAAATTCTCTTTTACATTTGCATATTTTAACATGTTTTGAATTTTGCTTAAAATTTTGAGCTAATCTGACAATTCTGACTTCGAATTCGGATTCAGCGGGTGAAAAATACATGGGAATACATTAGTGTAGTGTCTGGGCCAAAAAAATTTTCCTTTTTTTAAATTTAAATTGTTTTCTTAAGCAGTTTTTTGAGTTTAGCTCAAAATTTGAGCCAATTGGGCAATTGTGACTTTGAATTCGGATTCAGCGGGAAAAAATACATGGAAATATACTATTGTAGTGATATAATTTTTTTTTTTATTTTTGACTTTAATTAGTTTTTTTGAGTATAACTCAAAAACAATAGCCAATCTGACTATTCTGACTTCGGATTCGGATTCAGCAACGAAAAATACATCGGAATACACTAGTGTAGTGTCTCGGCCAAAACACTTTTTCTTGTGTGCCTGTGAAATTAAAAAGTCTTTAGTAAACTAAAATTTGTTAAGTAAAACCAACGTTTAACAAGTTTAACAAAATACGAAGCTGAAGTACGCAATGTTTATGATAAACGATTTTTAAAGAAAAAATTTTTCAAAATTAAAAATTGCATAATTTTTTGCCTAAAAACTATATGCGGTCTTTTACAAGTTTTGTCAACTGGGAAAGTAATTCCATTTTCGATGAATTTATTTAGAATTATTTTATTACTTTATTTTAAAATAACAATTTTGAAGATATTTAATTACAAGGATATGTAAAAACATATTTGACCGAATTTAAAATGTGGACTATAAATTTCACTTAGAATTCCCCATGTATATTACTATTAGTATATAATTATTAAATCATAAAAATTAATTATAATTATTTATTTTTAAGATAAATTATAACACTAAGAAATATTCTTTTTTTACAGTATAGTTGTATGGACACCAGTCCTATTAGCATTTACATCACACATCCGTTTTGGAACAAAGTTGTTCAGGTAAATATTATGTAAATTTAGTTGAATGAAAATTTCTGATATATATACATATGTTACGGTAAATGCACGAAAATCGGTAAATGTGCACATTGACCCGGCTATTTGGTGAATGTGAGAAATTTTTAAATTAATGAAAAAATTACGTACATTTACCAGCGTTGGTTGGTAAATATTGATAATTTATTTTATAAACATTTCAATGAGATACAAATTAAACTTATACAAAGAGAACAAAGTTTATATTGAAAATCTCATTGTCAGTGATTATTCTTTCAGTTTGCTTTTGATAGCAAAATTGTTAGTTTAATTAAATTTTAATTTTAATTACGTGAAATAAAAATGAGTGAATGTGTTGAAATGAAGAAAAATTTATTGAATTGGTAGAAAATATTATAAATGCAAAAAATAATAATTCTTTCTATTTATCCAAGGAAGAATATATTGAAATTGTGCAAACAACGTTTAACAAAATATCAACATTTACCAACTAGATTGGTAAATGTGCACATTTACCGTAACATATATACACACTTCAAAAATTGATTAATTAATACTTTATTTTTTATTCAAATTTCTTTGTGATAAAACTTATTAAAAATAAAAAAATAAAATAATGTAAAATACGATACCTAAAGGAAAAGGAAAATTAATAATAAATTTTTTTTTAAAATGGTGTATTAAGATATTTTTAAATTTTTGATAAGAACCATTCAAAATTACGAATCAAAAACTATATAACACTTTATTTTAATTTCTTATGAAAATTTTACTTGAAATGACCCTTATGCGGGCTATATGAACGTTACAATTTTATATTAGTTAGATTTCGTGAGAGAATGGATATTACATCATAAAAGCTAGCCTGTGAAAATTCTTTGGGGTAATGGGAGAATTATTTCAGCCAGCAGAGTTTCGTTACCTCGAAATATGGTTTTTCTTATTTCTTTGAAAATTAAAAAAGATTCATTTATAAAATTTGATATTGTTGCATATTTAATTGATAAGAATCCATATTTGTGTTATATTGATTAAAATATGTTACTATTGGATATTTTAATACTAAAGAAGCTGTAAGTTTTTTTTATGTCTTAAATTGTAAAATGGTCATCTGTCGAGAACTATTGACAAAATAAAAAAATATTCAAAAAAAATATAAATTATATCATTCTATTGTAATTTCCAAGTAAGAGCCCACAGGTTTACTCATTTTCTTCAAGGGGCTTTGATTTCCCTACCTTCCTCTATAAGTGTAATAATTGCTTGTAATTTTGTTATTATTGGTTCTATTTTTTTTTATTCTGTTTTCATTTTGCTGAAAATATGGAATGTGTTAATTAATAATTTCTTGTCACATGTTGATTTTTCCTTTTGAAATGAAAACAAGTCACTTTTGAAGAAATAAATATATGTAGACGTCCGCATGAAAAGGGCCCACTTTGACTCTCTGCTGATAAACCAAAAGGTTTAAAAATTTTTTTTGCTTCCGGTTTTGAAAATTTGTAATGAGAATCCGACAATGACATTTTCTAAAAAATACAAGTTTTAATCATTGAACAGGTTTTTTTAAACGAAAAAAAAGAAGCACATGCCGCGCACGGTGAGCTTAAATAAATTATCAAATATCAAAACAACCACGATTTTCTTTCAGGATTGTATTCTGGGCTAAATTTGAGAAATTTAATTTTTCCTTTAAAATCGCATAAATTTTTAAAAGTTTGTGCCACAATAACACCTCCCAAAAATGCAAAATCGGGGAAAAATCATTAGAAAATGTTTATTAATATTTTTTATAGTATTTTTTGCAAGATTTTTTATTTACAACTTAAACAAATATTATTAATTGTATTTTTAGATCATTTGCAATTTGTTTAAACAAATTATTGTTGCTATTTCAAAACTAGTGTTTAAATGTATCTACAAAGTTGCTTTTCCCTTTAATTTTGCAAGTAATTCTGCTGTATATAACTGAAATAGTATCTTAAATTTAAAACCTAATTTTCCACAATAATTGTTTAAACAATTCAATTTTTTTTATCAATTTAATACTTTTGGAATTTAAAGGAAAATTCAAATTTTTTCAAAAAGGGCTTGATGGATTTTGATTTTTGCTCGGAATATCTTCTTGTTTGTCCTAGAATACAATCCTGAAAGAAAATCGTGATTCTTTTAATTTTTAATAATAATTAATTTAAGCACACCATGCGCATCTTATTCTATGCACCGAAATTTTTTTAAATTAAAAATAACAATTTTTATGTTTAATTTATTATAAAATTAATTTTTTTTTTGAAAATTGCTTAAAGGGGCACTACCTTATAGTAAATTGAACTTAATAACATTTTTAATTGTTAATAAATAGTAATTACATTACGTTTTTGTTAAATTTTTATTTAATTTATTTATTTAATAATTAATATTGAGTGCTAAACACGAATATGATGATGGACTTTTTCATATTTTATAGTCAAAAAATTGTACAAGCTTTTTTTTGAAAACAGTGATTGTTAAAAAACTGTTTGAAAACTTTACGTTTTAGCTAGGTACAAGTTTGCTGTGTATTATAGGTATATAGTATTTAAATTTCAGATAGGGTCAGTTTGGAAAAATGGGGACAAGAAGTGTTGGAGCTTAATTTACAGTTTTAAAATTAAGTTCAACGTAAATATTTTAACCTCAAATCACCGACAAGAGGTATTGCCAAACTTTTATCTTGACAATTGGCAGCAAGATAAAAAAAGTTATCGCTCAATGCATAAAAACTTGAAAATTAAAGTCAAACTGTTTCAGTATTTTGTCTCGCATTTCAAAGAAAACAGATTTAAAAATCATACAAAATTTTTTTCTTATTCCTTATGACTTCCATAACAGAAATTCACTTGAATTTTTGTCAATTTGGTTAATAATAACAAGCTGTCCTCATTCACCCCGAGTTTTCAAATTCTTTGGCTAAATGGGGACAGCTTGTTATTATTAACCAAATTGACAAAAATCAAAAATTCAAGTGAATTTCTGTAATGGAAATCATAAGGAATATGAAAAAATTTTTGTATGATTTTAAGCCATATTATAATTTTTTTTCAAGTTTTTTCATCCCTTAATACAGTAATATACTTAACGAAACTTTTTTCTTAAACCTTTCTTAGAAACTATGCTGTCCTCATTTACCCCAAATTTTAGGAAATTTTCTAAATCTTGGGGTAAATGGGGACAGTTACTTTCATGCGTTTAATGCTTATCTAAATTTTTTCTGCTTCATAAAATTAATCATGGGAATGTTAAATAACATTTTTTTTATAAAAAATCTTTTCATTTGATAAATAATGTCAAAATTGCTAAAAAAAACAAAAAATTGAAATAAAAATATTTATAGCAAAGAATGAGTTTTCGAAAAAACAAAAAGTTATATTATATTTTAAAATTAAAACGCAATGAATAAAATGGAACAAAAGCAACGCACACGATCGTTTGCGGTTATCGTAAGTGCTAGTTTCATAAACATGAGATACATAAAGGTTAAAAGATCTAGAGATTTGCTCATATACGTACAATACTAAAAGTTTACAGGTGTTTTATTTTTTTTTCTTTCTTTCTAGACCTAGAATATTTTTTTAACTGAAGACATATTGTTTTAGTTCTGTCCAAGATGGGTTGCTCCAAATGTGTTAACATTCTTGGGTTTTCTGTTTACTGCCTTGAATTTTGTCCTATTTGCCATTTACGATTACTACCTCTACGCATCTAGTGATGATCAACATGGATATCCATTAATTCCAAGATGGGTCTATGTTGCTGCTGCCTTCAATATTTTTATAGCACATACCCTTGGTAGGAAGATACATTAATTAATTTCTCGGAACGCAAAAATATTTCCCACACTGATTTTATGTTAGAATTTCTAAGGTTTCTAAATTAATAAGCTCGAATTTCTATGTTACCTAATTTACTGCAGTAGAATTTATATTCAATTCAATTTTTATATTTAAGAATTTTTATTGAACTGAATTCATAATTGAAGGAATTTTTATTTAGTCGAACTTTTATAAAACAAATTTTCTTGTTTACCAAATTTCCATTTAATATAATTTCTATGAATCTACACGGAGAGAAAAATCTGCCTTTTATAGTATGAAATAGATTGCTGCTATTTTTCTGTAAACTTTTCATACTAATAGAGCAAAGATTTGAGAATTTTTAGTATAGTATTTGTCCGTACTAAAAAAGCATAGTATATATGCTTCTATAGTACAAAACATGTAGTTTAATAGCAACAACGCCATGCGAAGATCGCACATAACATCATCCTACTATGTTTGCATAAGTTCTATGCTTTTTCGGGGATAGACTCTTGCAACTGGCGATTAGGCCACGCCCACCTTTACTTAATTGGAACTGCCCTAATCGCCAGTTGCAAGAGTCTATCCCCGAAAAAGCATAGAACTTATGCAAAAATAGTAGGATGATGTTATGTGCGATCTTCGCATGGCGCCGTTGGATTAAAAGTATAATAAGTATGTAATAAGAGGCTATATGACAAACTTTATTAGCATAGACAAGTTTCATGCTAAAAAGACATACGATTGTACTATAATTACTCAAATTTCATGCCTATATAGCATAGAAAATTTCTGTGCATTAAATGTAAACCTTTCTATACTATAAAAGGCAGATTTTTCTCTCCGTGTATATTTGCAAAATTTCCATAATATAAAATCTTTATATGAAATAATTGTTCTTTAATATGGTTTTCATTTGGCAGAATATTCACTTAATAGAATTTGGATTTAGATGAATTCTCTTTTTAAAAAGTTTTATTTAATGGAACTTTTATTTAAATGAATTCCAATTTAACCAAATTTTCATTTAACAGAATTCTCATTTGTACGAATTGTCATTTCATGAAAATTTTAAAATGCCGAATTTTTATTTGACCGAAATTGCAAATGGTTAAACAAATATCCGGCAGAAAAATTTTGACGGGAATTTTAAATTAATTTATCACAATTTTTTTTTAATATTTCTTATTCGTTAATTTTAAAATTCGCGCAAAAAATTTACTGTTGGATATTTGTTCGGCTATTTGCAATTTCGGTCAAATAAAAATTTGATGATTTGATAATTCTCTGAAATGAAAATTCGTACTAATGAAACTTCTGACAAATAAATTTTTCCAAGAAATGGAAATTCTGCTATATATTTAAAAAATCGACTAAGTAGAAATTCTATTGAAAAAATTCTGCTGAATAATAATTCGTTTAAATAAAAAATGTCTTTATTGAAAATTAGGTTTCAGTTACAGTTAAGTAAAATATTGTTTAGTTAATATTTTGCTAAATGAAAATTAGATTAAAAATAATTCTGTAAAATTAAAACTTTGTATTATAAAAATTTTGCCAATTAAAAATTCTGTTAAATATAAATTTGTATATTAAATAAAAATACATTGAACTAGAGAATCTGTTGCATAAAAGTTCAACAAAATAAAAACTCATTTAAATATGAATTCAGTTGAATAAAAATTGTTAAATATGAAAATTCAATTCAATATAAATTCTACTTTATAAAATTCGTCAACATAGAAATTCGAGCTTATCAATTTCGAAACCGTGGAAATTCCAACAACGTGTTAAGAATATTCATGAGTCCCATTTTTCTCGAATTCTTCTTAACTTTGGAATTAAGGAAAAAATATCGTAAAAAAAAGAACGACTCTAGTTCGCAATTTTCAAAAAAAAAAATTTCAATTTTAGATGGCATCGATGGGAAACAGGCGCGACGAACACAAACATCAGGTCCATTAGGTGAACTTTTTGATCATGGATTGGACAGTTGGACAACAATGCCAATTGCCGTTTGTACATTCTCAATATTTGGACGAATGGAAAATAGTGTTACTCCATTGCGAATGTATTTTATTCTCTGGACTGTTTTTCTGAATTTTTACCTGAGTCATTGGGAAAAATATAATACTGGAGTTTTATTCTTGCCTTGGAGTTACGATGCATCCATGTTGGTTAGTATTTAATTTTTCTTTTTTTTTCACAACTTCCACTTGATTATTTCCACAGTATGTGGAATTTGTAATTAACTCTTTTTAATAGAAAAAAATTTGCGTGACACTAAATATAGGAAATAGAAATAAGATTATGTTTCAATACATATTTAACGATTGGGTAATTATTAAAACTGTATATATTTGCGTGTGAAGATTCATTGATATGCAAAAAACGATTGCAACTCTCTCATGGCACATTGATGATTAAATCATTTTTATGTGTGGAAATGACTAATGATTTTATTTATGTTGCGTAATAATTGCATATCATAGGAATGCTTTTATGGATGCGGAAAAAAGTTTCTTTTTTTAATCATTTTTGTTTGAGCATGAATTAAGCTAATTGAAATATGCCTTTTAAGGGGTTAAACCACTCTAAATCTTCAAAAAGGGGCCTAATTTTAATAATTTTTTTCAAGAAAAGTTTCAAAGTAATGAAAAATATGCTTATATTTCTTTATTGGGTACACTTTAAAGAGAAAAAAATATACTTCATAAACTATTTAAAAAAAAAAATATCAGGTGTACAGGTACGTAATGGAAACCCTTTCTGAGGTGAATTACTTCACGGCCGGAAAAGTTTTTTCTATAATTTTCATCCTAGAACAAAAAACAAATTTTTTTCTATTTTCACATCTCAAAAGCTAGCTTATTTTATATATTCTTAGGCACCTTTTAAAGGAAAAAAATGTTTAATTTTTTAAAAATTCTAGAGTGGTTTAACCTCTTAATTACTATTATTTCCAAAAATATTACCATCAGAGTAAACAATTCAGAAGTTAATAATAAAGCTTTAAAAATTAGTGACTTTAAATTGAGTAAGCGATGTATTTAAAGTATTTCAAAAATATTGTATTTTATGCTTCTTAAATAATCTCTCAATTAATTCCAGGTGATATTTTGACTTTTTCGGAGTAGGTGAACCGATTGCAATGAAGCTTTGGAATTTCGTTATATATAGTAAGACTAATTTTTAACGTAAATTGCAGCTTAAAATATTTGTTAGTTTACGAGATTTTATTAGTTGTAAAATTATAAAAAATTGTTCTGAAAGAGATTTATTTCTCTCATTTTCCTTGATATTTTAAAAAAAGGTAGACCTCAATCCTATTATTAGAACGGAAGATATAGCAGCTTAAAATTTTTTGTTATTATTGCAAATCTCGTAAACTAACAAATATTTTAAGCTGCAATTCACGTTAAATATTAGTCTTACTATATATAACAAAATTCCAAAGTTTCTTTACAATCGGTTAACCTACTCCGAAAAAGTCAAAATCTCACCTGGAATCGCACAATAATATATTAAAAAATAATAGTAAAGTAAGAAAAACATTTAAATATTAATCTATTCTGTAGGCTTTAAAATAATTTGATATAATTTTTGTAACTTTATTAAATTAGAATCTGAGACGTAAGACTTTGTTTTTAATACTAAAATTAATAAAAAATATTTATGTTTGTTTCAGATGACAACTGTACTCTTCCTTATAACTTATATCTTTGGTTACAAATTGTGGAAGATACAAGTTTGGGGTGATATTTATATTAGTGAATTGATAGAAATACTCTTGTACGTAAGTGCTATAGGATCAAGTGTTCCAGTCGTGCTGTGGAATATTTATAAGTAAGACTTAATTTGAATTTTCCAATTTTCAAACAAAACTGCTGCCAAGTTGAAGTATGAACTTCTTGTGTTCATTCCATGAAAACTTTGCTTCCTCATGGAAATTTTTTGTGATCAATTTATGGTAACTTATTTGGTATTATAATAATTTTAAAAAGGTGATAAGTTGTATTTTTTGGGCGTTTGCAGAGGTAGATTTTCAACATCAATAACTTCGTAATATTTTTTATAATAAAAGGTTCAATAATAGGTCAATTGATTCGATTTTAAAAATTCTCCAAGTTCATAATAATTTTAAAGTTACAAAAATATTTTTTAATAAATAACGCAAAAAGGCAGGTTTTTCAAAATTTTTCAATTTCAAAATGTTAATAACTCTCATAAATTAATTTTTCGATTTTTTGCAAAGACGTAAAGGTAAGAGAAAAAAAACAATCTTTCACTTTTTTAAAATTTAGACAAAGTTTCGGTGGCCTGGTTCGCCACCATCATTAGGTCACTTTAATAAAAAAATATATTTAAATAAATACAACACAAATTTAGAATTAAAATTACAACATTAAATAAAAAATTAATTTTTACCCAATTAAAATCAATAAATAAACATCATGTCAATAAATAAAATCAAATAAATAAACAAAATAGAACAAAAATATAAAATATTTAAATTTACAAATCACAAACATATTAATAGAAGTGATTAGTTAAACTGACTGAACCGATGACAATTTTCGCATTATATACAGACGATAGGGTCAATAACCAGCAATAGAAATATTATGAATTATAACCATTATTTCAATTTATTGAGCAAAGGAAAATACTAAGAAACTGTACATCTTCCTTCTTGTTAATAGTAAAATTATTGCATTTAATGTGAATCATCTCAGAAATTAATCGTTTTTTATAAGAAGTTTCATAATCTAAAATTTCTGCATCGTCAAAATTAAAAGAATGATTATATTCAACTGTATGTTTATTCACTACAGAGTCGAGGTTTTTGTTTTTATGTTCACCAATTCTTTTTCTCAAAGTACGTTTCGATTCACCAATACACGTGGCTGAGCATTTCAGTTTCTTGAATAAAAAATTGCAATTTTTTGAAAACTGAATCTTACACTCTTCTATTGACTCAGTAATTAATTTTTTTTTCTGTTTTCTGAAAAGAAATTTTCATCTATTAATTCACTGTGTAACCAAAAACTAATTAAAAAATTTAATTCACTAATACTGAATGAGAAACTCTCTGTTTGTAATATTAATTCAAAAAGAAAAAATTGGTTAATCAATTTAACTAATACTGTCATTCCTCAAGACGTTTGTGATGTCATTTCTCTGGAATAAAATTACAGTTGTACTAGACAAAATACTAAACATGTTTCAAAACAGGAAACTGTAAATATTATTAAAAATTTAGAATGCTCTATTTTCAATCTGAACATTAGTTCTGATTTCAAAAATGAGATTAGACAAAAAGTTAGTAATAGTGTTATTTCAAATCTGTCCAAAAAAAGTGTATCACCTTTGAAGACAAAAGTTTAGCCATTAAGTTAAATTCTACAAAAAGTTTCTTGAATGAAAATCTTGATATCTTTTTTACTAATTCTGACAAAGCAAATGTTTAGTTTGCATGAAGAAATCAGACTATATTGCTAAATCTAATGATTTACTTTCCGACCGACGCATTTACAAAGAAATTTTAACGAAAGGAGTTTTATCCAAATTACAATCAAGAACTTATATAATTCTTAAAAATCTATATGGCAATGATTTTCTTAAGTACAAATATCATAATAACCAGTTAACTATGATTAATACCTCTTTGGCAAAATTTTATGGTTTACCAAAAATCCATAAAGACAATGCACCTCTTCGCCCTATTATTACACTCATAAATAGTCAAACTCATTTTTTGGGTAAAATCATAACGATGAGTTAAAAACTGTAATTCCTTTACCAAAATCTCATGTAAACAATAGTTCGAGTTAAAAGAAAAATTGAAGAATATTACTGTACCACAAGATTTTGTTTTACTTTCTCCGGACGTTAGTTCACTTTTTACTAATATTCCATGCGATTTAGTTATACAGAGCCTCCATAGAAGACCTCGACTCAGTAGTGAATAAACATACAATTGAATATAATCATTCGTTTAATTTTGACGATGCAGAAATTTTAGATTATCGGTTCAGTCAGTTTAATTAATCACTTCTATTAATATGTTTGTGATTTGTAAATTTAAATATTTTTGTTTATTTATTTGATTATATTTATTGACGTGATATTTATTTATTGATTTTAATTGGGTAAAAATTAATTTTTTATTTAATGTTGTAATTTTAATTCTAAATTTGTGTTGTATTTATTTAAATATATTTTTTTATTAAAGTGACCTGATGATGGTAGCGAACCAGGCTACCGAAACGTTGTCTAAATTTTAAAAAAGTGAAAGACATTTTTTTTTTCATCTACCTTTACGTCTTTGCAAAAAATCGAAAAATTAATTTATTAGATAATAGTGGAAGAATATACTAAATATTAATGTTAATAACTGTTCTTAAAATAACAGTAGGATATTCTCTAATACGTCAAAAGATGCATTTTAAAAAAACTTTAGAGAACTAGATATAAATTTTTAGATATCTGAATTTCTGAGGTCGAAAAACATAAAGATACATAAAAAATTGAGTTCGAAAAATTTCAGTATTACAATGCTTCCTCCAGGAGGAAGCAATAGTTAATTTAAAACTGTTATAATTAATTTAATTTAATTTACAGATCTTATAGAGACAAAACTGGCAAAATGAGGACGTTCTGGGAAGCCGTGAGGCCCTTGGTGCCTTTGGTATTTCTTTTCGTCACAGCAACGATGTGGATTTTGCATTCTTCGAATGATATTTTAGAACAGGATCCTAGAATTGTTTTCTTTGCCATTGGAACGATATTTTCTAATATCTGCGTAAGTATTTTTATTGTTAATATTTTAAAACATACCCAAATACTTTTTTATTTGTAGATATCTTTTTTAAAGGAATGTATTTCATATACACCTATCTTTAACGAAGAAAAAGTTTGTCCCCGATCTTGAAAAAAAACTTAAATATTTTTAATCTTTGTTACCTAAATAAACAAAATTTCAAAGATTCAAAATCGTAACCGATCCTCCTGCATGACTTTTTATGTATTTATTGTTTTTTTTATGCATTATAATGAAAAATTGCTTCATTACGATGTGCATATCAGTTGAAATTACTAGTGCAATTTTTTTATACTTATTAAATGTAAAAATAATAATAACAACAATAATACATTACTATAATTTTTGGGAATAAAAGTTGGATAATCAATATTGTAATTTTAAATCCGTACTGTTAACAAAAATAATAAGAGAGTATTTTCCCTAGAACACCGCACATGTAAACATTAGATTATCCGAATTTTCTATCACTTCTTATTCTTATTAATATACGCAACATTAGTTACTGCTATTGCAATTTGTATTTGTATCGTGTAAGGAAATAAATGATAACAAGTTGGCTAAAATTAGTTCAAAGTTTCGTAGATGTAGTTGATTTATTTTTAATCACGGGTTTTGTCATGATTAAAATAGAAAGTTTGTGTCTAATGTGGTAAAAAAATTGTTTGCAAAGACGGTAATTTAAAAACTTTTTTCTTCACAGAAAGTCAAAAAAAGATCTTCCAAACTTTTATGAATAAAAGTTTTTCTTTAAATAATTTAAACTTTCCAACGATAGAATTGCCGTTAATACAGTCAACTCTCGATAATTAAACATTCGATAAGTTGAACTTCTCGATAATTTGAAGTAGGATGTCGGTCACTTCAAAAGCTCTCGATAATTTGAATAAAAAACCAATGGTTTTAAGTACACTCGATAATTAAAAGTCGTTTTTAAGCTAATTTGTCCTTGGAAGCTCTATAATTTGAAGTCAGTAATACCAAACATTCGATAATTTGAATTTTTGTCAGCTCAGGACGCTCCATAAATTGAAGTTAGTCAATTTAAACTTTTGATATTTTGAATTTCTTTAAAATATAATTTAATATTTTTTTCAGACCTATTGGGAACGGTGGTCTAGTAACAATCTAGTAACTTTGACCCATTCTCTCCCTCCATTTTGTTTTTTCTACTCTTTCTAACCTATTAATTGAAGAGAGACAAAGAAAGAAAATGGAGGGAGAGAATGGGTCCCCACCAGATGGCGTATTGCAGTTTAGCCGATCCCAATAGTGTCAATAGAAAATTTTCTAGATGAAACACGTTTAAGTGCATTTAAGCAATCCAAACTGTCATTAATTTGAATTTTCTCAAACTTCCTCTCCATAATTAAAACATTCGATAATTAAAACTCTCGATTATTTGAACTATTTTCAGTGCCCCTTGAAAATCAAATTATCGAGAGTCGACTGTATGTTCAGATAATATTTTTTGACAATTTACACACATGCTCGATACAGAATTTTGAATTATTTAAAGAAAAATTTCTATTCTCAAAATTTTTGACCAGCTTTTCTTGATTTTCTGTGATGAAAAAAGTTTCTAAATTACCGTCTTTGCAAATAATTTTTCTACCAAATAAGGCACAAATTTTTTTATATTTCAATCATGACAACAGGTGTGATTTAAATTGTAGTAATAAGTCATTTTTAAATAGATTAAAAATAAATCAACTACATCTACAAAACTTTGAACTAATTTTAGCCAACTTGTTATCATTTATTTTCTTACACGATACAAATACAAATTCCAATAGCAGTAACTAATGTCGCGTATATTAATAAGAATAAGAAGTGATAGAAAATTCGGATAATCTAATGTTTACATCTGGGGTGATCTGCACATCGTAATGAAGCAATTTTTCATTATAATGCATAAAAAAAACAATAAATACATAAAAAGTCATGCAGGAGGATCGGTTACGATTTTGAATCTTTGAAATTTTGTTTATTTAAGGTACAGAGATTCAAAATATATGAGTTTTTTTCGGCATCAAGGACCAACTTTTTCTTCATTTAAGACAGGTGTGCATAGGGATTCTCTCGCTACAGTTTGTCCTAAAAGAAATTCATAGGTATTTTGTTTTTAATTCAAAAATTAATTAAATTTTAATTATATTTTGTAAAATAAGTCGAAAAAGTCATACAATCCGAGGTCTGCATTAACAAATAGTTGATGTAATTGACTGAAAAATGACCTATTTAACCAGTAATTTGCATATTTTGACCACTGTGAACCACTCCTTTACTGTTAATTTTTAAAAAATGTGTATTTATCGTTTTTTTTTTAAAATTTTTCTTTTAGTGTCGATTGATAGTATCGCAAATGAGTAATACCCGGTGCGAAGTGTTACCTTGGATACTGTTTCCTGTTGCAGTAGCGTCTCTGTTCTCCTTTATCTCGCCTAGTTTAGATCTGCAGTCCATGTATTTAGTATCTGCAATTGCATTTGTAGCACACATTCATTATGGAACGTGTGTAGTAAGTATTTCAATTAACTTTCCTTTTATTTAGCACAACTTTTTTTATATTTCTTTTTACATTAATATCTTTTTCAGGTTCGACAAATGTGCCGACACTTCCGAATCAAGACATTTTCAATAAAAAATCATTCAGATTGATTGCTTGCCGACAATATATGTTAAAATCGAAAACGGAAAAATTAAAAGCGAGTCGGAAAAAAGAGGAAAAGATCTGAAATAAGCCTAATAATAATTAAATTAAGCGCCAATTAAGAGCTTAATTTCATTCCAATTCACTAATTTTAATTCCGTTTCTGTACAATATATACATATAAATATATTTCAAATACTCGTGACACATTAACTTAAAAAAATATATTATTTAAAACTTTTTAATGAATTGTTTTCTCTAGTCGATATTTTTACTTCTTCACTGGCAATTTAAATAAGAAAAATTACTTTTGGCTCGTGTTTAGATATTGATAGTGTAACCCTTTCGGTTTTAACATATATTGTCACAATTATAGAATTATTTATTATTATTATACACAAAATGGTGAAATGTAATTTCTTCGATACTGGCAAAAATATATTTTATGTCGAAATATTTTTGCAAGTTCGAAGAAATTACAGAAAAGAAGAAAATATTCGAGAGACGGTGAATGAATTCTCATGAGACTATTGACAGTTGTGAATGATAATTTTCTCAATGATCTGTGACACCGTTTCGATTAATTTTGGAATTTTCTTTATGAAAATTCAGGTCGAGATTTTTTTTTCTTTTGTAAACTGAAATATAAGATTTTATATTTGAGTTTCTAGTCATGCCTGTCGATGTTCTCATTTAACTAACATAATAAATGCATTTTTATTAAATAATGTGTAGGGAAGAAAATGATTATTTTTTTGAAGATTGAAGTTTTGAATGAATTCGAGCGCGAATATAAATTTTAGGGATCTCCGACTAGTGTCTGATCCATTCCTCAAAATTCGTGCTCGTTTATTTTGATTATTAATAATAAATAATTGAAGTGAGACCCTCGGCGGCCAGTAAAATATAGTCTTAAGAACATTCGACCAGCATATCTCATTTTTTTTTTTTTTTTTTTTATTTTATTTTATTAAATTTAGTGTAAATTTTTTTTAAGCGCCACCAAAATGTCAAAAGTTGCTTCATTTATTTTTTTTTGACATCGATGTACTTTTTACAATATTATTGTGTACTTTTAAATTTATAAAGAACGCGAATTGTTTATGTCATATGTATGTATGTATGTGGCATTTTCAGACGGCATTTCAAAATAAATCGCATAATTTATCAAATAACTCTTTAAAAAAAAATAAAATTGCAACTACGAAAATATGTACAAACTAGTTATGAATTGTGTATGTGTGTGTGTGTATAATGTAAGTAAATACTTACACACATTTATCATGTGAACGAAAAGAAAAAAAAGTCAAATGTATGTACATAAAGAATACATAATATTAATTTTTACCAAAAACATTGTTCTCTTTTTATTTAGTATTTAAAAACAGAACATAATCCTTATTTCTATATAACTAAGAAAATAACTTTAAAAGAATACAAACTATTTATTCATATTTTCTCGATTCTTTAGATATTCCTCTTTAATTTGTTTTCGTTCATTGGGATACGGTAATTCAGGTTTAATTCCTCGTGATCTCCTTTCTCTTCTTAATTCGTCCTTTAAAAAAATTTATTTTAGAAATTTAATTTAACTAAATTTGAATTATTTAACAGTAGAATGTTCATTTCATCAATTTTTCATTTTTGTTTGTTATTGATTAACTTTTCAATTTCACCAAATTCTCATTTTGTTTTTATTTTTATCGCAGTTTTTGATATTGTATCATGCAAAAAGTATTATTTAAGTTCTGAGAATCATAAAAAATTTCTTGAATTTTGTAATGAAAAATTTGTAGAAACCTTAAATTAGTCAAAATTCCTGAAGTTTTACAGCAAATTTTCGAGTTTACTGTATTTAGTTGAGCATATTAAACAATTCAAAGGATTTTTTTTTAAATCGAATTTCCCTTAGTTATAAACAATTAAAGTTTTTTACAGTCTCTATAATTATTCAATAATATAATAATTAAAAAAAATATATCTTCCATTCACGTTTGTAAACTGCTTTTTTAGTAACAAGTTTACCGATTCACAGAGAGGATTTTTTAATTTAAAGAACTTATTTTTAGAAGACAAAAAATACATGGTTTTTCACACTATTTTGACAACGGTCTACTTTGAAAGCTTATACCTTATTCAATAATAATCCTATCAGTATGCGAAATTTTTTCTATAATATTTAAACCCTTCTGAAACATAATATTAAAAAAAATACGCTTATTTCATTAACTTTTCGAGATTATTTAAAACAAAGTTAAAAAGTTATCTCTTCAACAAATAAACGCACAGATTTGAAACAAATTGCAAATTGTATAATAAGAGATTCTGTTAACGAAACAAAAATCAAAAATTGTTTAAAAAATTTTTCCAAAGATTTATTCATTAAATTTTTTTCCGTTTTTTGCTTTATTACTCCCATTAAAGCAAGGTGCAGGTCCATTTTTGCCGATACCCTTGCTGAATTACTTAAAAGAGGTTCTTAAAGTTGTAAATAAAAAGTAAGAATAGAAAAATTGTGAAAAAAGTGACGGTAGTATACTACTGTTATTCAGAGCCCTGCCTTTGACAAAAAGGTTCATCACGGTCTGCACCTTGCTTTAATGGGAATAATAAAGCAAAAAACGGAAAATATTTTCATTTAACAGAATCTTTTATTACACAATTTGCAATTTGTTTCAAATCTGTGCGTTTATTTGTTGAAGAGATAACTTTTTAACTTTGTTTTAAATAATCTCGAAAAGTTAATGAAATAAGCGTATTTTTTTTAATATTATGTTTCAGAAGGGTTTAAATATTATAGAAAAAATTTCGCATACTGATAGGATTATTATTGAATAAGGTATAAGCTTTCAAAGTAGACCGTTGTCAAAATGGTGTGAAAAACCATGTATTTTTGTCTTCTAAAATCCATAAGTGATGCAAAAAATTTTTCTGCTTTTTGCAATTTCGTATAGTAACGTAGGAATAGTTTAGCGGCTAATTCCAGGTTGTCTCAATGAAATGCGATTTTTTTTACCTGTGTTATAAGTTTTCAAAGAGAGGAGCCTATTACTTTTGACCCGATAGTAGAATATGTTTTTCAGATGTATACAAATAGGGATTTTACATATTGTCAACTAAATACAGAAAACTCGAAAATTTGCTGTTACATTTCAGGAATTTCGACTGATATAAATGATCAAAATTTTTAATTATTATAGTAAAAGTTTAATTTGAAAAGCATTACGTGTAGAGTGGACTTTGTATACATAAATAAATACACAGGGTGTTCAAAGAGTATGGAAACCTGCAAATATCTCGAAAAGTACTAATTTTCGTGACCAATGTGAGACCCTACAGTGAAAAAAAAGTATCACGAAAATTGGTACTATTCGAGATATTTGCAAGTTTCCCTACTTTTTGAACACTCTGCATATGAATTAATAATTATTAATTTACCCAGAATTCTCTGCAGATTTTAACATTTATGAAAAAATCATAGCATTTTTCTTGATTGTAATCGTTATTCTTTAAACACTTCAATGATAAAACTTCTTCCTGTCAAAAAAATAAAACATTTATTGTATTATGAGAACAGAATGTTAGATATACCTAATTTTTGAAATTTTAAAAATGATTAAATATTATTTCATAAAAAAAATGAATAAAATTATTAAAATAAACGTACTTTAAAACACGGATTATACCTTTCTCGGTATTCACGATTTTTTTCACTAAGTTTATGCATATCCCTCATGTTTGAGTTTGTATTATCTTTTAATACAGTGTTTTAGAAAGATCAAGAAGAAGCTAGTCTTCTTATATAATATAAACGATAATTTTATAGTGTTTATAATATATACTATCTTAATAAACGTGAATTATCTTGTTTTCAATGTTTTGCATGCTTTGTTATTGTTATTGGTTATATTTTTTTAGCAAAACTTGTGACATTTATTGCCATAAAGCCTCGTCACAGTGACGTCGTGAATAGTAAAGGCACGGTCCAGGGTTGCGCAGTTACGCGTAACTCGAGGTTGTCTACGTAGATTACGTAGAATAAGTAATCTACGTAGACAGGTGTAGAAAACCCATATGTAATTTACATTTCAAATATGGCGTCTACTAAAGAGTGAATAAACACGTGAAAAAACGGAAAACATAACTCCTTTACTCTTTACCCTAATATCAATTATTGTTTAATATTTATTGTTGGTCACAGTTTTAAAATAATTAAAATATTTTAAAATATCCTTAAAAAAGAAATGTGCCTGATTGTCAATACCATACAAAGTTTTAAACTTTGAACACATAAAATTAGACGAAAAAGCAGTTGTAAACTATTTATTTTGCGAAAACGAGTTTAATAAGCAAAGAAATGTTACAAACATTCTTCTTTATATCAAATAAAATGGTAATTAATATTTGTTTTAAACCAAATTTTACAATTTCAATAAACTAATTAAAATGAAATTTTATTTCCGAATTGCCTCTGCATATATATATTTATTAATTATGTATTGCGTTTGTATAGAAGAATATGCCAAAATGAATCGCGAAGTTCTAATAAGCAGGTTACTGCAACTTATTTGTATATTTCTTTGACCGGCTGTCACATTCACATATCTTGGTTTGCTTTTGAGGTTATGTTGCAATGTTCGACAAATACCACATAACGATTTATAAGAAGGTGTAAATTACGTAGAAAAGTGTAGACGTAAATTACTAGGTAATCTACGCGTAAAGAACTACGTAAATTACCTTAGGTAGTTTACGTACCCAACCCTGGCACGGTCACAGCCCTGCGGAAGCGCCTATTATGGAGCGGTCACACCTCGGCTGCAGGAGCAGTTGCCCATGGCAACCGTGTAAGAGTAAGAGATATAGAAGATTTTCCATCTCTCTTACTCTTACATGGTTGCCATTGGCAACTGCTCCAGCAGGCGAGGTGTGACCGCTCCATTAGGATCTGTCACTTGTGACGTCAGAGTCAATTCTAGATGTGACGTCAGAGGCCTGGAGGGACAACAAACAGACCATAGAGTACTATAAGGAGACCGAACGACCATGTTAAATCTGCGTTAAAAGTGGACCAAATTTTGGTAACCGCTTAGTGTCATGAAAATACGTAATGGAACACTAGCGCCACTGATTGTGTTAAACTCAGCTGAACAGTCAGTCATTGTAAAAGTTTTAAAAATAAGTACACTGTAAAAAATCTTTTTGGAGATTGTACATTCACAATTTGTATTTGTGTTAAAATTTGTAAAATTACTATATTCAATAAGGTTATGTTACTACATTAAAAAAAGCACTTTTACCATTTTCTGTAAATTTACTACTTTCAAAGTGAGTAATATGTGAAACATAATTAGTTGTTGCATCCGTCACCTATTACCCACTTTGAAAGTAGTAAATTTACAGAAAATGGTAAAAGTGATTTTTTTAATGTAGTAACATAACCTTATTGAGTACAGAAATTTTACAAATTTTAATACAAATACAAATTGTGAATGTACAATCTCCAAAAAGATTTTTTACAGTCTAGCAATGTATTTTTGGGTTATGTTCAACGTACTTCTAATTTTTTCCACTGTTTACATACTACCCACGAGAGCGCTTGTGTTCCATTACGTATTTTCATGACACTAAGCTGTTACCAAAATATGGTCCACTTTCAATGTACGTCATTCGGTCTCCTTATACTACTCCATGAAACAGACGACACAATGTTATTCTTATGGGGAAGAAAATTAGTTTCCACTTTCATCAATTTTATTCATACTTTAAACATGGAAAACGTTTGTTGACATAATAAAATTAAAATGTGTGTTGATAATTAATTTTGTTATATATTTGATTCAATTGCATTGATAGATTCTGTGAATTCGTGATAAAATATAAATTTTGAGGTTAGTGGTGTTTATTTACTATAACTTAAAATCTTTTACTGCTGCGGTAATTCCCACTTAAAATATATATTTTATATCTTTTTAATAACATGCATACTGGATATTGTTTAATAATGTTGTTAAAATGTAAAATGTGATTAGTAAACAAACACCCCTAACCTCAAAATTTATATTTTATCACGAATTGAGGGAATCTATCAATGCAATTGAATCAAATATATAACAAAATTAATTATCAACACAAATTTTAATTTTATTATATGTCAACAAGCGTTTTCCATGTTTAAAGTATGAATAAAATTGATGAAAGTGGAAACAAATTTTCTTCCCCATAAGAATAACATTGTGTCGTCTGTTTGTTGTCCCTCCAGGCCTCTGACGTCATATCTTGAACTCGAAATATCTCGATGAACTGACACAGCCTAATTAGGTAGTTTAAGTTAGGTGGGAGAAAATACAAAATGGCGATTATCTGGTGCACAACTTTGCATTGGAAGTATATGGAATAAAATCTAATTTTTTGAATAACTCGCTCAAATGAAATTTTCAAATTTAAGTATATTATACGGAAGCGCCTACGAGTCACCAGCGAACTATCTTGTTCGCGTCACATTTTTAGCTGTGAAACCGAGGACCGCGTTCGATGGTTTCGCTGTTTCCTTGTTTTTGAGTGACGATAAAACACACTATACGGTTCGATAGTTCGATGGTTCTCTGTTTTTACTTAGTTCTATCGTTATCGAAGTCTAAATTTTGTATTAAAAAAATAAATTTAAATTTAAAAACCGAAATATAATAATATATTTAAATTATATATTTGAGATATATCAGATATCTTATAATGTGTGCCTAAAAAATTATTTTATTTAAAAATAATAGTACAAAATATTAATAGTATAGTACAAATATAAAATGCAAACAAATCAACTTACTTCAAAATAATATTTTGTACTATTATTTTTAAATAAAATAATTTTTTAGGCACACATTATAAGATATCTGATATATCTCAAATATATAATTTAAATATATTATTATATTTCGGTTTTTAAATTTAAATTTATTTTTTTAATACAAAATTTAGACTTCGATAACGATAGAACTAAGTAAAAAACCAGAGAACCATCGAACTATCGAATCGTACAGTGTGTTTTATCGTCACTCAAAAACAAGGAAACAGCGAAACCATCGAACGCGTTCCTCGGTTTCACAGCTAACGGAGCATTTACACCTTTGGTAAAAAAAATTTTTATTTTTGAATTTTCCGAAATACACAAACCTGATTGGTTGTTCACAATCTGATTGATAATGGACAACCAATCAGATCATTGCATTTCCGAAAATCAAAATAAAAAATTTTTTTTACCAAAGGTGTAAATGCTCCATAAAAATGTGACGCGAACAAGATAGTTCGCTGGTGACTTGTAGGCGCTTCCGTAATATTAGGATGTTCTTTTTTATTTTGGTAATTGTTTACGTCATGTTCACGTATATGTACTGTTAAATATTTTCTAATGGACCTGTACCAACAAAGAGGGGAATACAGGAATCAGACCTCTCTCTCGGCTCGCGACTTTCAATGGCACAGCCACAGCGCCCACAGCATTCCAGATATATAAAGTTCAGTGCACCGTTCCCAATATCTGACATGTAGTATTTGGGAAGTTCGACTGTATTCCAACGAAACCAGCGCCGCATAGGGTCCGCAATTGTTATTATGAGAAAAATTCCGTTAAACATTTCTAATTTCAGAACGAAGGCGATCTATCGTGAATAATGTAATCAATGATAAAAATAAAGAGTGTGTGGTGTGGATCGTAAATGAAGTTCGGTAGGTGACGAACTGCCAAAATCGGGTCACGAAAACAAACTAATGTCATATCAGTGAAGTGTTAAAACGAGCGAAAAGCTCGTAAAAAATCGAAGAATTTCCTGTCGCGCGCTTGTTTCTATTATGTGTTTTGCTTTTTAATCTCATTTTCTTCTGAAATCTCCATTTCAGAAAGTTTTCGCGATAATTGTGAGTGTGTCTGTGTGGCAAGAATAAGGTGAGAGAGACGGGGTTGGTTTTGCGGACTGCGCCAAGTGGCGTTTCAATATGAGCAGGTGTCTGTGACGTCACAAAACATGTTAACAGTCACTTCCTAGAAATGTACAAGTTTTGAATCATAAAACGTCGTGTAAAAAAATAACAATCGCGCTCCAAAAAGAAAAGATCCTCCTAAAAGTCTCCAATCACGAAACATATTTTTATGGAAAAAAAGTTTGCTGTGTAAGCTTTGTTATCGTCATTGGCCGATTTCTCAACTTGAATTTTACATTTTTACAATTCTAAACTATGTCCAAGAACAAACTTCATCATCATCATCATTTTGACAACGGCATTGTCGCTGTCAAAAGCAAGGTATTGAGTTGGTTGTTTTTATTACATTGTACATTTTTTCCGATATTTTCTTGATGGTTATTCTTTGCAAAAAAAATTAATCGTTAATAATGTTAATGTGTCTTTTGACATATTTGTTTTTTTTTCTTCGTAAGGTAGGAATTTTTCCGTTTCACCTCTCGCTCTGATTTTTATCTCTAATTTTCATTCTCATGAATCGTGAGAATCCTATGTCACTTGTTGGATTCGATATACATAGAAAATAAATATAGACAACTTAGATATCTCTAGAAGAAAGTTTGTGATTTAGATAAAATTCTCTTATTTCCGCTTACAAGTTTAATTAAATGAGTCAACAAATTGATTTTAATTTGCATTATTTTCGAGTTGATAAGATATATTTTTAATATATATAGATTAAATTCTTATTACTTCAAGAGCGTTAAAAAAAAAACATTTAAAAAACTCGGTATTTGTTTTTAATATTTTGTATGTCTTTTGAAATGATTCAAATTTACATGAATGATTTATTTGTTGAATATAATTGATTGCACACAAATTTCTTAAAACAGACCAAAAAATCTTTTTCATAATTTTTTTAAATCAATTGCCTCTTATAATATGTTATACAATTATTTTATTATTTATTTTATAATTATTATTAAATATACCAATTTATTTTCTGACATTGATTTGAAATATTGGCCAATATTACGAAAACTTAGAAATTTTTTTTTACACTGTCAACATTTTTTTCTTGTAATTATACACATCACGGTTTGCATTTGTATAAAAATTTGTAAAATTACATTATTCAAAGCAGTTTAAATACTTTGAATGTTGCAGTTTTACAATTTTCGTAAATTTACCTCTTTTGGAAGTTGGTATAATAATGAATCCGATTATTACCTGCTTTGATAGTGGTAAATTTACAAAAAAATGAAAAACTGCAACATACAAAGTAGTTGAACAACTGCTTTGAATAAGGTAATTTTACAAATTTTTATACATCGTAATTTGTACAATTATAAGAAAAATTTGTTACAGTTTATAAAGTGATAAACTTTTTAATCTAGAACTTGAAATTTTTGGAAAATTAAAATTTTATTCTACTCTCATAATTTCTATTCTTTTTGTAAAACTTTTATTTATGATTCTGAATAATCAGTTTCGCATTTAACACCTCAAAAGAAAAAAAAAATTTTTCTTATACAAATTATTTAAACAAAAAGGACCATCAGACCCACTCTAAAACTTTTTCCAAAATATTTTTAATATTTCCAGGTACGTAAAAATAAAAAGTAAAAAAAATCGGGCCCAAAGTTAAAAAAAGTTAATTTGTTTATAAAAAAAAACCCGTTACTTTTTTATGTAAAAATTCAATATTTTTTTTTAGTTAACATATTTCGAAAGTCGATGAAAAAGTAAAACTTTTTTCTCTTAGCAAAAGTTTCTGAATTCAATACTTTTGGAGTTAGATGTTTTTAAATTTTATCACTAAAGTAATAAAAAATCCAATTACTAACAATAAAATTTTGTTTAGATTATTTTTTTGTGTAATATAAATGACTCAATATTAATTCATTTTTTTCATATATCTATGAATCATAATTGTAAATATATATATATATATATATTTATGGGGTAAAATTCCTGTAGCGAACTAAGTGAAAAAAAAGTTGATCGGATCGGGCTGCAACTTTCATTTAGTAACGTCAGAGTTACGATAACTTTATTTGTTTATAAAATATATCATTTTTTATTAACCTTAATAGTTAATTAATTAACTAAAAATTGTAAATATTATATAAGTAGATAAAAAAAATTTTGATATATATATTTTCCAAATGTTTTTTTGTGCTCTTTCAATTATGGGAAATAAAAATTCAAAATTTGACCTTTTTTCTGAAAATCAAAAATTTTTTTGACTTTTTTTTAAAGTTCGGTTTTTTTTTTAAATTCATTTATTGTTCTTTTGAAAGTTAAAAATGTACATTTTTACCTCAAAAAATATTGAGATGTCCTTTTTTGTTATTTTCGACATATTAGTTAATTAATTAATTAATCTTAACAAAAAGTTATATATTTTATAAACGAGTAAAGGTATCTTAATTCTGACGTTACTAAATGAAAATTGACAAAATTCCGCATCCAACGAGCCCTATATAAAGTACTTTGTGTTAGTGGATTGTTGAAAAACAATTGGCTAACATGGCAATTCTTTATAAAAAATCCTCTAATCCAAAATAGTCCACATAGAGCTCGTTGGATGCGGAATTACGTCAGCTTTCAATTAGTACCTTCAGGATTACAATAACTTTATTTATTTGTGAAATATTTTATTTTTTATTAACATTAATTAATTAATCAATATCTCGAAAATTACAAAAAAGAACATTTCAATATTTTTTGTGGTGATAATACACATTTTTAGCTTTCAAAAAATAAAGAAATAAAAAATATAAAAAGGACCGTACTTAAAAAAAATTCTAAAAAAAGTTTAATTTTCAAAAAAAGGGTCAAAATTTGAATTTTTTGAAAATATTTTTGCACGATTTGAAAGAACAAGAAAAAACCTTTCGATAACATATAGGACAAATTTTTTTTTTTCTGTTTAAAAGTTACAAATCTTCAAAAATTCACTGTTTACATTTTTCAAAAAAATTCAACCCCCTCCCTCTCCGACAGTTTTTGAAAAAACCGAACAATTCTTCGTTGTTAAATTACTCACCCCTTGGGCTAAACTATGAGCAAGTTACAGCCCGATCCGATCAACTTTTTTTTCACTTAGTTCGCTACAGGAATTTTACCCCATATATATAATATTTATAAAGTTTTAACGAATTTTTAAAGAAAAAATGATTTGAAATTAAACTGACCAATATCACTGAAATTAGTTTTTGACTTTTCAATTTATTTAATAATATTCTATTGCCTTGATTGTCGAAGGCTATATGTTGTTTTACAAATGAACATAAACATTAATATATGATTTTGCGATATGCGTCATTAAAGTTCAATGAAGGCATTCAAGGAAGTTCGTAATTCTTTTCATTAAATGTTAATTTAGAAAAAGATTTGTGATAATTTTTTTTAAATTAATGATTTATTATTGCATATATGAGACAAAATTCCTGAAATGTCCGAACAAAAAATTAAAAATTCTCGAATTTAATCCATACTTTTGTAAAATATAGTCATTGTTGGTAAATGTCTAAAAATCAATTATTACTGAATTTGATAAAATAGTTTTTGAATTACGTTTTGAATTTTTGACTTTTGAAAAAAAAAATTTTTGCAACACTAACCTCTAAAGTTAAATTTTACACACCGAAAAGTGCGTAAAGAAGCTCTTTCTAAAACGGTGTGTAAAGTGATTCACTTTACGCACTGAAATATTACTTTACGCACTGAAATTTACTTTACGCACCGAAATTTATCTCACATAATAAAAGGATTGTTTTAGATCATACAAAACCACAAAATTGAAAAAAGAACTTTACTTTTAAATTTATACACTACTGCTTAATGATATTTTTCCTTATTTTCGATTGATTTTTTTAATTCTATACAGTCGAAATTATTCTAACAGAGAGATGGAATTCTTCATAATAGGTACTTAACTTTAGAGGTGGGTGTTGCAAAAAATGTTGTATGATACACGTGCGTAAATCTGATTATACGCGCACTTGTATCATAAATAACTATTTTTCAATGTACAATATTTATAAATAGTATACAAAAAAGTTAACATATATATATAATGATTTTTAAAGCCTTTTTGACAGGCTAAACGATGGTAATAAATTTTTTTTATTTAAACAAAATTTGACCTTGAAATTCAAGGTCAAAATGTTAATTTACGTATATCTCAAAATCGGATTTTTAAAAAATTTTTTAACTATCTCAATGGAAAGCTTGATTAATTTCCTACAAAACATGTAATTTTCAGAGAGGGATCTTTTAAAGTTTTTGAAATATTAATTAATGTTTATAACAAATGAAATATTTCACAAACAATTAAAGTTACCGTAATTCTAAAGTTAGCAATTGAAAATTAACGTAATTCCGCATCCAACGAGCCCTATATGAAGTATTTTGGATAAGTAGATTGTTAATAAACAATTAGTTAACATTACAATTGTTTATTAATAATCTACTTATCCAAAATACTTCATATAGGGCTCGTTGGATGCGGAATTACCTTAACTTTCAATTGGTATGTTCAGAATTACCATAACTTTATTTGTTTGTAAGATATTTCATTTTTTATTGTTATTTAACTAAAACTGAACAAAAATACTTCATATAGGGCTTTTGGATGTTTGTTGTTAGTAAAAAATGAAATATTTTACAAACAAATAAAGTTATGGTAATTCAATTATACTATTTTTAAGATCATTTTTTCCCCAAAAATTTATACTTAAAATATAGTTTTTTCAAAACAATTTATTTCCATTTGTCCAGCATTTTTTATCTTATTTCTAAATAGCTAATTGGAGTAGAAGTATTCATGAAAAATAAAACGCTGTAAAGATTAAGGAGAATAATTAAATAGGTGGTTACCGTTTCCAGTACTGATAAGTTATGCATATTCTTTTTTAAAAGTGAAGTATTTTTGAACAAAATTTTAGAGAATAAGACAGGCTTTTTGTTATACAATTCAAATTATTTGAAACAATTAATTTTCACATTCTTCCTTAGCGTATGCAAACTGTGAAAGTTGGCTAAAAAAAGTCAAAAAATTAAAATTCAATTCTACAACAAAATATCATGTTTAAAAATCATGTAAATAGATCATCTTAAACTTCTCTGATTTATGTAAGTAAATTTAAGATTTTCACATTTTATTGATCATTTTTTGTCATTTAAATATTAATTATAATTTCTTGACTTTCTTTGAGCCAACCGTCACAGTTTGCATACGCTAAGGAAGAATGTGGAAATGAATTGTTTTAAATAATTTGCATTGTATAACAACAGGGTGTCTAACGGTCAGGGAAAAGTCAGGGAATTTCAGA